ATCCCCACCAATTAAGATAATATTATTATTTAAAGTATTTGTTGAGCTTTGAAAAAAAAAGTTATACCTAATTCTGATATATATTATCATTATGAATATCATAATTATTTCAAATAATAAAGGTGTGTGTATATATGAATATATTGTCAAGCTAAAAATTCCATAGTAATGCAGCTTCTTTATTGTTTATACTATGTGTGGTTAATATCAAAGGATCAAAAAATTAATTTGAAGGTCACCACGAGTGCCACACAAGGTGTACAGGGTATACACAGGGACGAGTAAGTAAATGTCAATCAAGTTCTAGCACCCAATGATGTACCTTAATGCATTTGATTTACAGCGGTACACAGACCAGGTATTTTTGAAGGCGGTGCTTAAAATCTCTGCCTTTAAATAAGACAATAGTCTGTTCTTAAGAGACAGCGTACTTGTACATGTATTCATAAGAGAAAGTTTCATTCCTAACCTTGATAATAATATCGGTAAAGTCTTTGGAACCCCAAAAAATATACAAATGTTTTCTCGAAAATGATCTTGTTGTTTTAAGTGAAAGGACAAGGTATGGTACCGCCGAATATGGCCCCTTATTTGATATTAAAATCAGAACACAATTAAAACTGTGATAGTTTGTAGTTAAGAACTTAAAATAATGCTTGTTTTCAAAACAGCACTAATTCTGATTCAAAGTTTACACGGAGGCTACAAGAGGATGCAAAAGTAGGACATTTTCACGAATTTCCTCAGTTCTAGTGGAATTTCGTCAAATTAGACATACTTTTTACTTCGGGAAAAATAGAGCACAAGCATGCCTATCTGAGATTTTTATACACAAGATGCATCTGATTCTAATGTATGAAATATATAAATTTAGTAGATAGGCAAGCTTGTGCTCTATGTTTTCTAAAACAAAATGTGCTGTAAAATCGATGAACAATTGCATAAAAATGAGAAAATCCGGAAAGTGACACATTTTCTGACCTTTCTGTGACCTCTGTGTACCCCATAACTTTAAACCAATATCTCATTTTGTGGCAGGGGTGACAACAGGGTTATATTCTAAAAGACACCCCAAACCAGGGGCCAAAAAGGGGTCTTAGCCTACCTAGTCCTTTCAGGAAATATGCGTAATCAAATTAACTTTGTTCGTCGCAAGGAAAATTTATGATACAAAGATAAGATTTGGTAAAGGGTCCTACAATTGGAAAATAAACAGCTGGATTTAATAAGATACAGCTGTATTGAAATGTATCAATGAACTTAGAAAAATATCCTTCTAGCGACCAATCAAAAGGATTGTAGACTGACTGACCGTTTTATTTAAAACAAATTCTTGCAGACATCTGACTCAAAACAATTTATTATTACTCTTGAAAAGGAAGTTTAAACTATTAACATTATCGTCAACTGATACCAAGGTTATATAAACATTAACTATAGCCAAAAATGAAACAATTTCTTTGAAATGTCTAATTTAGATGCAGGAACTAAGTATGAGAGTATACTTATTTTTATGTTTGTTTTATTGAATTTTGTATGTTTTCCAAATACACAGAAGCACTCAGCATTGGCCATTCTCCGTTTGCTGTTTTGAAAAAAAAAATGTTTTTCAAAGATATAAGGCAATATCACTATATATTCAATAGAGCTCTTCCCTAACACCAGAACCACTGACCTAGGGGCCATGATACTTACAATTCAGAAAATGTAGCCCTGTTCATCATAAGCATACACTTAGTATATAAAAAAATACTCAGGAGCAAAAAGAAGGATTTTTAAAGAAATAATGCATTTTCACTATATAAGCAATAGAACCCCAGACTCCTTTACGCCAGAACCCTGACCCAGGGTTCATGATATTCATAATTTTAGAAGAGGCAACTTTGCTCATCATAATTGTGCACTTAGTTTCTTTTTTTAATTTACATGGGGAAAGAAGAAGATTTGAAAGAATTTATGGAATTTCACTTTATGATCAATAGAGCCCCACCCTAACTACATAATCTTGGGCCATGAATTTCATAATTTTGGTGAAGGTCTTATTGTTCAGTGTATGCTATAATCATCACAACAGTTTGACTGCTTGATGTCCAAGGGTAGAGAAGATTTTTGAATATTAAATTAGTTATGATGGTTTCGGTCCCAAAACTCAGGTCCCAAGGGTGTAGTGACTAATAAATTCAAAATTGTTGTCCCCACCCCACCCCCCTTTGCCGAAAGATGCTCTATATCAAAGTTTGTTGTTCAGCGGTTCTAGAGAAGATGTTGTAAATATTGAAAAGTTTAAAATCGACGAACAATGGACGACGCACGAAAACGGAGAATGGCCAATGCTGAGTGATTCGGGTGACCTAAAAAGGGAATACGTAGAAAAGAAACACAAAGAAAAAATGCCATGAAAGGAAAAGGTGAGTTATAATGCCACGAAAACATTAAAATTATATGGATAGATTTAATTGAAACAGGTAAAAAAATCTTAAATAAATGTGAGAAGGAAAGTTGATTATGCGTATATTGCAGCTCCGATAAGAAAACCTTTAATCAAAATTATTCATAAGTAATTAAGTGTTGTATTACCTAGAAAAACAATCAAAATGTTGATTTCTAGTTAAAGTTTAGTTTTTGGCAACACTTTCTCATTGTTAAAACCTCAATATTTACTATTATAATAGTAATACTCTTTTCAAACTTAGTGATTTCCATTGTAATTAAGAGTTAATAACATTTACATATAATTATTGTACAATATGAGTTTACAATCATGAATAAACTAAATTTTTTTGACATAAAAATGGTGAAAATTTGTATTTAAGAAATTACTTCTATTGTAGGAGAAAACGTTACCACAAGCAACTTTAAACTACGTCTAAATTAACGAGAGTTATTGCATCTCCCTAATAAAAATTTACTATCATGAACTAATGTAGTTCACTAAAGTAAAACCTTTGGCACAGATTTACTATGAAACTTTACTCTGGAACTTTTTTGAGATTTCGAAGCTTAAAATCTCCTTAATTCAATAATAGTGATCCAAATTTTGGAAATAATAAGTGAATATACAGGTAATAGTCTATTTAATCTAGAAAATGTACATGTACGAATTGAAAAACAAAAAATATAACACTCTGAAATCCATAGTAAAAATACTTTGATTTATTATAGTAAAATCTTTGATACTATAGTAAACTATAGTTAACTATAGTAAACTATACTTAACTATAGTAAACTATTGTAAACTATAGTTAACGACATATATAGTAATTTTTGTTAGGGCTTGGCAGAGTTCCATTCCGTTAAATAGCAATATCTGTGTGGATGTTAGTATTTAGCGGAACGAAACGAACACATGTATTGATTGTTCCTCTCGAGAATTTTTCACTAATATGGAGACGCCACCACTTGCCGGTGGAGGGCTGCAAATTTTGACCTATGCTTGGCACTTATGGGCATTGAGCAGTGATGGATCTCTTTCGTCCAGCACCTACTGCGACACGGGACCTCGGTTTATACGGTCTCATCCGAAGGACCTGTCTCCACGTCCCACAGTGGGATTCGAACTCGCGATGTAAGGATCAATTCCTTACTCCGAGACTTTAGAGCGAACGCTCTAACCACTGCGATACGCGGGCGACCGAACACATGGAAATTGAAACATAATGAAACATAATATATGAAAAAAAAGATGTTGTTTTATAAATTTCATTTTTTAAAATTAATAATTGAGGTCTTGTCAGTTAAACTAATTTGCGTAATAGGATATCTCGAATCACAGAGAATTCATGACAGCTTGGCTAATACATATAAATGCATACACATAGAGTGAAAATATCTTTATCTTGATATCGTAGGGAAACGAGATACAGTAACTGGCAGATATTTTAGTGAGAATTGTAGTTTTCTTGATTTTATAGGACCAGGTCATGAAATTATGGCTGATAGAGGAATATTGATTAGAGATTTATTGCTAGAAAGGCACACAAACTTTGTACCAAGAAAGTTTATTCTTGCTTTGACTTAAATTCAATTAAAACTTCTATACATACAATTTTGATATTTGGCATATTTTTGCATATTTAATTATTTGAATGCTATAATGCTATACCTTTTTATCGGAATTTATTGGATTTTGAACAACTGTAAATTTGAAGTATTTCCTCATGCTACAAGTCTGTCAGTAGAAAGAAAAAGATAAAATGGCATTTTCTGTCAGCAGTGGTAAGAATATAATTCGCCGCGATTGTGCGAAATTTCATCTAATACTTTTTGAAAATACCAGTGTTTCAGTTTAGTTGGCCTTTGCCCTACTTTCCAAGAACCTTCCAAGCCGTTTAATTATTTTCAGGAGGCCCGGGTTTGATACTCTTTCGCCGCGACGACGTAACCTTCGCCACGCTCCCGACACTAGATGTGACTCCTATTTAATTTGAGTTAAGGTCAACGGTAAAGGTCAAATTATACATAGCTAGGATATTATTGACCGAACAACAATTTCTTAAGAAGCCTTTGCTTGACAGATGTATATATATATATACATCAACACAAGAGAGATATGAAAATGCTAGGATATCTTCCTTTAAACAGAGGACAACTCAGAGAAACGCAAGGAGTAAGTCACTACAGAATTCCAGGAATTCTTTTTTCGGACAGGGTTGGACTCAAACCAAACGAAAGAAATAATAAACTGTCCTGAAAACACAGAGAACATAGTTTCTACAGAACCCAAAATTATCAATCTATCACAAAGAGACTTAAATAGTGATGAAATAAAACTTTTAGAACATGGTTTAAAATTCACGCCTACTCCGAAGTCTGATAAGGTTGATGCCGTCACGGACACAGAAGAATTCTGCCGAAAATTACGCTTGAATTAATTCTTTCAAAATCAAACCAATAATGATATATCTCTAGTTAAAAATAAGAAGGGTTTTAAGCCACCGCTTAATAGAGATAAACATTTGGAGGACTATATCTCATGTCTTAGAAAGGCAGCTCACTTCAACATGGCGGATAAAAAGGTAACATCAAATATTCCACATAATCAATATCAAGCAATGCAAAATCTTAAAAGAGACCAAACAATTGTTATCAAAAGCGCCGATAAAGGAGGAGCTATAGTAATTATGGACAGAGAACACTATAAAGAAATGTCCCTATCTCAACTCCAGGATAATCAGTTCTATAAGAAACTAGAGCAAAATCAGGATCGGCAAACTATGCTTAAAATAGCAAACCTCACAAAGAAGTTTCAAAGTAACCTCACGAGAAACGAAATTGAATACCTTACGAATTTTGTAGTTAAAACTAGCCATTTTTATGGTCTTCCCAAAATACACAAATGTAAAGAAATCCAGGAAAATGTCAAGAAATATAATTCTACGTACATAAAACTTCCTAGACCAATTTATCTTAAACTGAGGCCCATCATTGCAGGTCCCGCATCTAGTACACAAAGATTAAGCAATCTGCTAGATATAATCTTAAAACCACTGTGTACCAAAGTGACCAGTTATGTTCGTGATGATATGGATTTCCTCAACTATATTCCACAAACAGTACCAAGAGATACACTGCTTGTTAGTTTTGATGTTACCAGCTTATATACTAATATTACGCATGATTTAGGAATTGAGGCAATCAATTATTGGTTGGATAAATATCCGGAAGAAATCGACGATAGATTTCCCGCAAACTTCATCTTAGAAGGACTTAGAATTTTACTAGAGAATAATAATTTTCTCTTTGATGACGAAAATTATCTACAAATCAAAGGTACTGCCATGGGCACCAAGGTCGCCCCTACATATGCTTGTTTAGTTATGGGATTTCTAGAAGAAAAACTTTACACTATTTTACCGGAAACGTTTGATCTGGACTTTACGCAGTACATTAAAGAGAATTGGGAAAAGTACTTGGATGATTGCTTCATCTTTTGGACAAAGAGTGAAGAGAATCTTAGAAAATTCCATGCGGTCATTAATGAATTACATGATTCAATTAATTTCTTAAATGACATGAATCGTGATTCACTTCCTTTTTTTTTTTTAGATATACTCATAATAAAATACGGAGAGGATATTTCTACAGACCTATTCTGTAAAGAAACAGATACTCACCAATACTTGGACTTTCGTTCCTGTCATCCGTCACATACAAAAAGGAACATTCCATACAATATGGCCAGACGTATTTGTACCATTGTGACCCAGCCTACCCTACGCTTGAAAAGACTCCAAGAATTAAAACAACACCTGAGGCGACAAAACTATCCAATAAACCTTATTGAGGACGGAATCAACCGGGCAAGACACACCAATAACCCAATTAAGAAAAAGTCGCCATCCAGAGGTAGTAGTTCATTCATTAAAAACCTGTTGTTGTCATCCCTGTTACGAAATGACTAAAATGATTATTGATTCTAATTGATATTATATACAGAGGTCAAGGGAGGGTAACCAAATTTATCAATTTCCAAATTTCCCCCTTTTTAACCAAATTTTCTTCAAATACAAAACATATATTGTTGCAGAAAACACAGAGCAAAAGATTGCCTATCTATCAGATTTATATAATTCATTCAATTCAATTTATAAAATCTTAGATAGGCAAGCTTGTGCTCTATGTTTCCCGAAGTGAAAAGTATCTCAAATTTAATGAAAGCCCATCAGAGTTTAGAAATTCGGTAAAATGTTGTAATTTGTCACCTTTTTGTGACCTCCTTGTATTCTTTGAATATAATTTAATGCAGGTTTTAAAACAAGCATCATTGAAAGTTCTTACTTGCAAAGTTTCACAATTTTATCCGTGTTCTGACTTTTATATCAGATAAGGGGCCAGATTGGTATTTACCATACCTTGTCCTTGGTTGAGAATGACTTTAAACAAATTAGACCTCACTAGGAGTTTGCTAAATAAAATGAATCAACACTTTTTTCATGTTTCAAAGATAACTGTACTAAATATATCAATTCTGTTTATGAAAACAAAGCGCAAATGATTCCTTTCTTCATCATAATATTATAATTAAAATGTTTCTTTCAATGGTCATTAAAAACAGCAACATTAGGCCAGATGCAAAGTATACGAATAGAACGCATGAAGTCGTAAAAATTTTGAATTCCCAAGATATTTATGTTGGAAAAGCCAAGATTAAAGTTGGAATGAGCAGTGCAACTTTGAAGTTGGGAAAGTCAAGATTAAAGTTGGAAGTACCAACTTTAAAAAAAAAATTTTCGTGGCACTAAAACGCTTCCATAGCTAACGGGAGAAATCAATCAATAGATAAATTATAGGAAGTATGTATTACAAAAATAAAACATTTTTCCGGGTTGATAAAACGCACGGCGGCATACTAGCTGTTATTTGCAGAAAAATAAAACCCAATGCTTTGTTAATCAGCAACTGCCAGACAGTATAGGAAGAGACATCTGCACACAAGGCAAAAGCTGATTTTTTTTCCTTTCTATTGGTTCTTACAGAGTTTTGTGTATTTGCATTTGCAAGGAATTCAGATTATGTAGTCGACCAAAATTTAAATGTAAATCGTGTTTTTTTCCAACTGTCTGTGATATCATTAGAGGTACTCAGTGACAGATCCAGAGAGGGGTTCTGGAGATTGGAATCCCCTTTATATTTCGCCAAGTGAACGCACGCAGAGAGAGAGAGAGAGAGAGGTAGGTTGGATAATACGTATACTTATCAAAACTTATGGAGATGTACATTTAGCAGTGGAGTCGTGCATTACGCGATGTTACTGGCAGGTTCAGCTTAAGAGTGTTTATAAATAACTCATAGTTAATTGATTTTGGTTGAATTGCATGAAATTAATGGAGGAGGCTTATTCCGCAAATGGCCATAAATAATATTTTGACACATGTAAATCCCTATTTCTCATACGCGAAATCTTCATGTAACTATGTTGACGAGCAGTTAAGGTTAAAGTTTTTCAAAAGTAGGTCAAGTTCAAAATCAAATGTGCACTAGGGAAGATCTTGTCTCAAGAAATACATAAGTGAAATCTTAAAGCCATAGCATCATCCATTCAAAAGTTATGGTCAAGGCTAAAGTTTTTCAAAAGTAGGCCAAACTCCAAGGTAGAGGACAAAGGGTAAATGTGTTGGTTTGGTACCCTTAGGGAATGTCTTGTCACAGGGAATACAAATGTAAAATATGAAAACCATTCAAGTTAAGGCAAAGGTAAAAGGTTTTCAAAAGTAGGTTAAGATCAAAGGTCAAGGTCAAAAGGTCAAAATTGTTGGTTTCCAAGGGAAGGTCTTGTCACAAGAAATGCACACAAGTAATATGAAAGCCCTAGTACCAATTGTTCAAAAGTTATGACCAAGGTTAAAGTTTTTTCAAAAATAGGTCAAACTCCAAGGTCAAGGTCAAAATTGTTGGTATCTAAGGGAATTCTGAAACCTTATTGCACATCTACAGGACACCACCTATCATATTCCAGAAGATTAATTGGTTACTGATTTAAATGTTAAAGGAGTTTTAGGAAGAAGAAAGTGTGACAGACGGATGGACGGACGGACCAGGGTAACAACAACATACCTTTAGAAAGTGCGGGTATAATCAAAGACAAATTTTTTCTTTCACAATACACGAGCACGATTTTTCTTTTTGCGATTAAATCTCACGGTTTAATATATTTGTTCAGCAATTTCAATATTCTTGTTTTTAAATAATTGAGTCTTAGTGATAGAAACTTAGTGTGAGTTTTTGGTATTTATTGCAGAATATGCCAGAAGTTATTGAAAAAGAGTGGCGGGTTAGAAGTTGTTATAAGTATATTTTCTGGAATATAAATATATTAACATCTAGTACTTTTGGAATTTAAACGTAGTTCAAAAGAGCTCGATCGGTCGCAATCTCTGCTCATATTCCACTTGCTAATGATAAACATGATAAGGTCTCACATATTTCCTTTCCTACATTTACCTTCACTATTCCTCCCTTCAGCGTTTTTATTTATGACTGAATTTTAAAAAAAATTCATTTTATTTCAATGTATAATAAGTAATATTCGAAACTCAATTTCATATCTCATTCTGGCGATCTTTGGCTATATACCATTTTCGAATCATGTTTTGAAGAAACTTCCGTAATTAAATAATAGAGGGAATATGCGTAGGGCCGTAGTAAATTATTTTTTGTGGTAGCGGCTGCATGAACTTTTTCAACGCAGTTAAAATACAATGTATAATTAAAGCATAGAAATTATGGCGTGTAAAACGTTGCTTTATTCGATAATCTTGTGATGTATATTCAAAATCTTTTGATGTATGTTCAAAATCTTGTGATGTATATTCAAAATCTTGTGATGTATATTCAAAATCTTGTGATGTGTATTCAATATCTTGTGATGTATATTCAAAATCTTGTGATGTATGTGCAAAATCTTGTTATGTATATTCAAAATCTTGTGATGTATGTTCTATAATCTTGTGATGTATATGCAATATCTTGTTATGTATATTCAAAATTTTGTGATGTATGTTCTATAATCTTGTGATGTATGTGCTATATCTTGTGATGTATATTCAAAATCTTGTGATGTATATTCAAAATCTTGTGATGTATGTTCTATAATCTTGTGATGTATGTGCAAAATCTTTTTATGTATATTCAAAATCTCGTGATGTATGTTCTATAATCTTGTGATGTATGTGCAATATCTTGTGATGTATATTCAAAATCTTGTGATGTATGTTTATAATCTTGTGATGTATGTGCAAAATCTTGTTATGTATATTCAAAATCTTGTGATGTATGTTCTATAATCTTGTGATGTATGTGCAAAATCTTGTGATGTATATTCAAAAACTTGTGATGTATATTCAAAATCTTGTAATGTATGTTCAATATTTTGTGATGTATATGCAAAATCTTGTGATGTATGTTCTATAATCTTGTGATGTATATTCGATAATCTTGTGATGTATATGCAATAATCTTGTGATGTATGTGCAATAATTGCATTTTGGGTAATATGACGCAATAATGTTCTAGTTAAGTAAGGACAATTTTCATTGGTTGGAAATAACGAAAGTAGCGGGGTGATGCATACGTAGATCAATTGGACTTTCATTTCTTTCGTTTTGATCGCCGAAATATTGCCGACTCGGCGTTAAGAAATAATTATCAATCAGTCTCTCGTTTTGATACAAAGAACAGAGACATAAGATATGGATTATATATGCAGGTATATCAGTGAGGAAGATATAAATGTAATTAACGTGATAAAGAGAGTGAAGTCCTCAAATCATCGAAAATCTTAATATTTCTAAATTAAGAAAAACAATAGCTGTTCATCAAGTTTTTTCTTCTCCTGTAAAAGAGCTGATCGGTAGTCTAGTAATACTGAAAACACAAAAAGATTATCTTCTTGTCATATTAATTAGGGTGATTACTTCCAGCATAATTCTATATTTGGAATACTCATGATAAATTTGAAGAGTATATAGAAGTTTAAGGCTTATCTAATTACAGTGTCAACTACACTCTATCTTTTGTATGTTTTTTTCTTCAGTTCGCAACTACTGTATACATCGATCACTTTCATATGATTTTCTCAGTGTATTACACATGCAGTGGGACAGCTGATTAGGTTTGACATGAGATATGGTGATTGGTCACCTGCAATCATGATTGCTAAAACTGATGACCAACTTGATGCAACCCAATGTTTAAACCCATGTGACCTAAACTTATCTCAAAGATTTTTTGTAAGCCTTCCAGTCATTTTTAAATATACAATGTACATGCATGCTTCACATGGAGAGTTGTAACTTGTTAGAGGAAGTCAGATAAAACCCCTGTTTTTCCCTGTCAATTGAAAAGCAAATTATCACTGTCTAAATCTTCTGCAGAGTTGTATCAGCTACAGCCTTGATAGATGCTACTAAAATGACACATTGAGACATTCCATCACATATAGATATGCTTGCAATGGCTTACTTATCTCTTACATAAATCATCATACTTCATAACATTTTGCTCAAAGCTAATATGTCCTGGCTCAACATCAGATGTTTGTCATAGTCCTACATAGTGAGGTTCAAATTCTAAAATCAGTGCAGGAGTCCTTAATTATCTTACATGTATCTGATGAAAGATTCATCATTCACTGAATCAGGACTGTGTCTAAATATACCTGCTTTTCTTTTATTCAGAGGTCAGTTCACTTAACTAGAGGCTGCATTGAGCTTTAAAATTGCCAGTGCACAACATCACTGTCAAGTGCCAATAAAACTATCAAATACTGAAATACTTCATTTTTGGTTTACTTTCACAGATATTTCAACTATGTTCATCTTGTTAACTTGCAAGTCCCTCTTTTGAAAGAAGTTGCATAATTTAACTTCAATATTATCCTTTTGTCACCTGTTCAACTATTATA